CTCTCTCTCTCTCTGGGCCCAACAACCACTGTGCCCATCTGCTCCTCACTCAAGTGTTTTGAGCCGTCTAGAAATTAAAAAGTTGCCAGATTTGCATGTAATCATGAAAGTACCGCCAATCCGGACCTATTCATGTTAAATAGGCCCTGCACGAGTAAAGCTAAGTGCGTGAACGATAAGTTTCCCAATGGATTTTGTGACGTCATCAAAAACTCCCAAAGCTCACCAAACGCCGAGGCAAATAGAACATCTTACTCTGAAATCCGATCATTTATCATATTCTGTCAGTTTTCAAGTTCCTTCAAGCAGCATGACGTTGTCTAATTCAAATAACAGAAGACGTAACCGTAATCTAATCACACCATTCTAGATCCCATTTTAAAGTCAAAACCTCCACAAAATTTGAAGGAAAATTTTAGAAACTCCATCACCTGTAAGATGAAAAATAAGGTTCAAACTCAAAACATGCGGCACTCTGAGTAAATCTGTCGTATCGAAATGGTCACTGGGCTAAACAGCCGGCGGTTGTGCCTGGTCCGTGTTGATATGCTCATTTTCGCTGTCCGCTGGCCGTTTCCATGTTCCCACGCTGGCTGCCGCATTCCACACACCTCTCATAACAATCGCGTATTAACAGTTTTAATAAGTACACGGATTTTAGACATTCTGTCTGAAGGTGCCGACTACACATCCCTGGGTGTAGCTTGATATGTACGCATCGTGCATGTGAATGCAAAAAAAAAGTGAGAAATGGCTTTGCAGGTACACCGTGGAATCAATCTCTTTTAGGCAAAGTGTGGTTCTTAAAAGAACTGGTGAGTCTTAACTCGACGTTCCAGCCAGTGTGCCCCGGCCGAAACGTCTTTTAAGAACCACACCTCGCCCAAAAGAGATTGATTCCATGGTGTACCCGATAATCCATTGCTCATGTCACTTTCACCATGAAAAGCTTCAGATCTGAGAAAAGTACTGTTGACTCTTTTAAGGTAAAAAGAGTCCCGTACAACTCCAATCCAAAAGAAAGAAAACGACTCTAAATTAGTGAAACCACTCCGAAATAGTGGCAAGAAACACTCAAAAAGAAGAGCTGTAATAAAGGAAATCTCTTTTCCGAGTTGTCCCTCGTAATAACACTAAAAAGAGTGGAAACTTCACTCTTTTAGAGTGGTTTCTACACTTTTTTAGAATGGTTTTTGCTCTTTGGAGTGGCCTATGAGGGACTCGCACTTTTTGAGAGTGAGTTCTTCATTTCTTGGCATTTCGAGATTGTACCCGGTCGCAGAGTTGCACCATTAGTTTTAGCCAACGCTGGACAATGGATCGAATTCATCTCACAGTTCAAAACATTTACATGTATTACTAAAATTATGAAAAGTGTTTTGCTTTTCTGGCACAATGAACAGTTGTGGGGGAGGGACGTGGCTTAAGTCTGAGAAACGACTCAGAACATTCATGACCTCGCCCGTTCGAATAAAAAAATCTTCACTTTGTTTGTTGTTTCTCCTTGACCGAGTGACCAAACTATACAATACAAATCACCCTTGAAACATACATGTATCTATAGACCTTGGTTGTACCTTTTTCATTTGGCTACCCAAAAACGCATCTAGCATTAAATCAAAAATATAATATATAATCAGTGTTCTGACTTATGTACTGGTAATTGCCGAGATTTCGGTAACTGGGTACCTTCGCCAGGGCAAGCAGATTCAGTGTTGTCTGCTTGTGTTTTTTGTTTCTTGTCTTTTCTGTCCTTTTTACGGTACAGTGGTCATCCATTTAAAAAGGCGCAAGGTCGAATTCGAAGTAACAGACAGTAGATCCGCTTTGGGTTATGTACTAACTGCAGCCGTATGGGTGACTGTAGTGACACAGGCACGCATGTCGCGCAGGCGTGCGTTAGTTTCAGCTTAAGCAAGCAGCTTAAACAACTTAACTTTAAGCAAGCTGTAACTTGTGAACTAATGTTCACATAACATCGGTTCAGTAAACTGAATCTGCTTGCCTTGACGAAGGTACCCAGTTACCGAAAGCTCGACAATTACATAATTCAGAGCACTAGTTATATAATATGTTTTTGTCTATATTCTGATCACGGTGCAACGCAGCCCTTTCATATTTTTCTGTAATCAATTCAGTTCAGTTCCATGTTTATGAAAAGCGAGTGTCGGAGCGGAACGTGCGCACATCCATTCATTTCCTCTTGCACTGGATCTCATTGGAGTTTGTGTTAATTGTGAGGGCCTTGACGCAAATTTTTGTCAAAATGTGGACGTATACAGTTCCCGCTAAATTTCAGATCTCTCACGACAGTTTTTCACTGACATCATACGCAGTGATAAAAACGAAATTCTGAGAAGAAATGTTTACGTGAATGGTTTCAAAACTCTCCATATTATATGAAACATGGAATTATCCATGTTGAGTTCCAGTGACATTTGTCATTGCGTTGCCGATATTAGAGAGGTGGAACTCCCCCATTGGGATGTTTGACAACTCCTTCACGACTCTTTTATTTAAGGATGAGAGTTACTGTTTCCAAATTCTCCTCAAGAACATTTAAAGTGATTTTTATCAACATTTTCACTGATACCAATAAGTCTGTGTTGAATGACGTGGCTGTGGTGAGTCCAGACTTTTTGAGGGGGGGGAGACGCAATTACCAAATTTGGAATTGTATCCCCCATCAAAAGGAGTCTGGACTCACTAGCAAAGACAGCCACGACATAAATCTTTGACAAATCAAAGTGGAGTCTCTGTCAATGCTGTCTTTTCTTTAGTCGAAGCCCGAAAATTGCACCACTCTTCAAAACAAAACAAGCAAATAAAAAGGGAATCTTTCTATAACACGTAATGACTCGAAACACAAATAAATTAATAAGTTAGAACAGATTTGCCGAATGTTTATGCCTTGTTTGTTGTGTTGAAAGCAAGAATGGTTTGGAACTCTTGTGGCAGAAACTTAACGAGGTCCTCGTAAGCGATGGTCTCGAACTTTTTCAGAAAGTCTCGTTTTTTAATGGCAGCCTCAGTGGTAAAGTAGGAGAAATGCACGACAAAGGCGTGTCCAACGACACAGTTTGGGTTCTTGACTTTCCTGGAGTATTTGACCGTCAACCAAGCCTCGTCATCGTTGCCAATT